TCTCCCCTTCTGGTCTCCTTTCTGGTCTCCTCAGGAGCGGGGAGACTCACGGAAGACAGAGACTTCTCCGGGAGGAGTTTCAGATGGGACGCACCACGTGGCTCCCTTCCCACCCCCAGCTCTTTCCTTCTTTCCAGTCAAACCAGATGTAGGTTATTCTGGAAGAATAAGCCACCCTTTAGGCCAGGAGAGCTTCGAGCAGGGCTAGATCTCTCTGGGGGTGGAGGAGGAAGGTGGCTTTGTGGGTGTGGGGGGGAGGTGGCTTGGTGGAGTCTCAAAGCAAACCTCACAGGCTCACTCCCCAGGCCTCGGGGCAGAATTTCTCACCAGATTTGGGGGGGAGCTGAGGGGATCCCCAATGCAAACTTTCTATGGGGGTAGGAAACCAATTCTCCAGGGGCTGATGCGATTAGTCCCAAGAACAGTGGGTGGATCCAGGCATGAAGTCCCCAGGCCTCTGACCCTGAGTGGAAGTTCTGCGGAGGGGAATCTTCAGTGGGAATGTTCTCGAATATGAGGGGCTCGGGAGGGTGGGCTTCCGCGAATGGGCGGAGGCCCAGGAAACAAGAGGCTGTGCCGCTCCTAAGTTGGGTTCCCTCTCCAGGCTGTTGCCTCTGGAGAGCGAATTTCCGGAATGGTTTCCTGCTAGGAAAGGGGGCGACGGTCGATGGCGAGGGCCCCTGGAGAGGGAGCTGAGGGACTCGGGCGCGGGGCTCGCGCGCGCGCGCGCAAGACACCTGCTCGAATCTGCCGCTAGCGAGGCCGAAATCCTGAGCACCAACAGTGGGGTGTGCGCGCGATCGGGGACAGGCGGCCCCGCGCCTGGAGGACGGAGAAAGCCCGGGAAGGAGCCGGCGTGGAGCGGGGGAGGAGAGGCCGGGGCCGCGCCGGCACGGACCTGGGAGCCAGGACGCTGGGGAGTCGGGGCTCTGGCGAGCGCTCTGCTGGGAAGAGCAGCGCGCGCCGTCGGGCTTACTGGAAACGCGCCGGATCAGGTTCCAGATCAATGAAATCTGGGTCCACACGTTTACGTTATTGTTGCCAGCATTAATGCTCTTTTAATCTTCTAAACATTATCAGCATCGATCTCCCTCCATATACACATTTGTTTGAGCAAGTGACATAACCACACACGGTGGAAAGCCTGGAATAAAAATAAACGCGCCGCCTCGCGCGTCGAGGGCGCCCGGCGCTGGGTCTCCTTTGCGCCCGCTACTCGACCGACCCTCCCTCCGGATCGGGCCTCGGCCCCGCGCCGCCTACTGCTCCCGCAATGCCCCGCGCCGGCGGGGAAAGTGTTTTCCAGGCCCGGGGGGACTTGACCCGGCCGGCCGGCCTCGAGCTTCTCCAGATCAATCCCACCAACCGGCGGGCGGAAACGTCATGTGCTCCGCCGCTGGCCTTCAGCCCTCTGAGCTCGAGAGCTGGGGAAGTGGCTGGGCTGGCCCCGATATCCGGCAGCGAGCTGGGGGAGTGGGGTGTGTTGTGGTCAAAGGTTTCGGGAGCGCACCCCACAGGCGGCCAGCGTTCTCCCAGAAGAGCTCCGCCTGGGGCGCAGGAGACGGCCGGGAGGGGATGGAGACGGTAAGGGCGCACTCCGTGGCCCGGTCAGTGGAACCCAGCCAGGCCACTCAGGTGAGGTTGGTGTAAGCGAGCGCCGGACGCATGGTGGGCACCTGGGCTCGCGTCGCTCTAATCCTCCCTTCGTCCCTCCGCAGGGCACCCATCCAGGTTCCTGCCCGCTCTGCTCACTCGCTCCGTGTTTCTGCTGGTGCTGGTGAAAGGCCTGCTGGGCTCCAAGCCCAAGAGTGTTCTGGAAGCTGTGAGAGTTCAAGCACTCCGGCCCACCCGGGGAAAGAAAATCCTCCAGGCCCCGAATGAACAACACGCTCATCTGAGAACCAAAAGCGCGGCCGCCCTCACCACCTTCTCCGGGAAGCGGCGCGCCTCCAGCCCATGCTCCCAACCCTCCTGTTGGAGCGATCGGGGTTCCCCGAAACCTTAGCCATTCCCGGGAAAAACGTCCCTGTGGGCTGTGGGCACGCTCAGTGGTTTGCTGGGAGTCAGGGGCGCGGGTGTGATGGCAGTGGGCCTGCCTGTCCGTGCCTTGATAATACTTTACCTAAGAAGGTGGGGGGGGGGGTCTCTGGAAATCGGACACCAGTTTTGAGGGCTCACAAACTCCAGTCCTGCTAGGGCCTTGGCATGACTTTGGGGAGCAGCCAGAATGCAGGGGAGGGTTGAAAGAGAGAGTGGGGAGAGCAGAAATAGAGAGATGGAGGGGGCAAGAGGGAAGAGGAGAGCCAGGAGGGAGGAAAAAGGAGATGGGGGCGGGGGTCGGCTTGGTGGTCTGGGCGAGCGTGTGGGCCCAGCTCCCCGCAGAGCCACTGGCTTGTTTAAGCCCTTCAGTGCGAGCCTTCCGCGGCGCCCGGCGAGGGCTGCGATCAATACTCCGCTCCTCGCTGGCCGCAGGCCCCTAGCGCTCCTGGGCACATAATACCTACTTCCCAGCCCCCGCTTAGGAAGAGACTGATCTACTGACCCCCAACTGAAAGGGCTCCGGTGTAATAATAACCACTCGACACACTTGTAGTTGCTGATAAAATGGCCAGATAAAAAGGCAAAAGTGCATGTCCCCTTTCAACTCGGGGTAATAAAACAGACATAGATTTGAATGCACAAGCAAAGCGCGGTGCTTGGACAGGAATTTCCCACGGCCTGAAGGCGGTCCCTCTACAGTCTCCAGCTAAGGCGGTGGCTCCCGGATCCTCTGGAAGAGTCCTCGGGTGCCTGAGGCTGTCCACCCCACCCCCAGGAACCTCCCCGCATTGGGGTGGGTGGGAAGCGGGTCCCTAGGAGACACCATACACTTCCTTTATCCTTGCGACTCGGGGCCACTGTAAAAATTGCCCAGCGCCCGGCACCCGCCAGCCCTCAGCTCAGACACTGCAGGCAGAAGGCACGTGTTTTCAAAAAGCTCTGTCCTTTGCTCGCCGGGCGTGAGGGGGCGGCAGTGCTCCGAGAGATCTCCCCGGAGTTGGCGAGTTGTCATCCTGCCTTTCACTGTAACCCCCGCCCCCCAACATGGGTTGCCAAGTTCCCCGGGTCCCCCTGTGCCCCGGAAGCCAGCCTAGCGCCACGGCTCATCCCAGAGGGATTGGCAGCGCAATGCTGGGGCCTAAAACAAAGCAGATACCAGCCGGCTCAGAAATGTACTTTTCAATGTCTTTACTACTCCCAATTCACTGTTTCCTCTTTGCTGCCCACCAAGAGGAAATCAGAGGAAATCGCAGGAGAGGAAGTAAGCAAAAGGAGAAAGAAAGAAAAAGCAGATTTCTGATCCCGGGGAAAGATGCGTGTGGAGCGCCCCGATTTGGGGAAGATCTTCTCGGGAAAGCTAGTTTTATCTTCACAGATTCACAGTGCAGGGCGAGAACAGGCTGGTGACCGAGGGTCCTCCAACTGTCCACAGAAAGAAACGCCCCCTCCTCAGGCCTGAGAGCACACGCAGCCCCGTCCGTGCATCTCATCAAGCGGATTGAGCGGTTCTGCCAGAGCACCCGCGAGCGGGAAGAGGAGGAAGCCCGAGCTCGCGGCTCCGGAAGCGCGTTGTGTGCGGGCGGCTCCGACCCGCGCGCGTCCCGCTCCCCGCGGCACTGTAAATCACCGCCTGCCGCCCCAGAAGGCGCGCCCACCCGGAGAGATCACATCCATCCCACAGAGGCCGCCGATCGCGGCCAGCTGCGGGGGACGGGTGTGCTCCCGGCGGGGAGCCTGCCACTTTGTGCCCCTGGGTGCGCCGCGCGGACCTGGGCGCCGCGCAACTGCCACGCGCCCCGCGCCAGGTCTGCGCGCACAAAAGCGCGCAACTGCGTGCCAGTCGCAGCCACCGCTGCGTCTTTCTCTCGGGCTCCCGCCGCCCACACAGGAGGTTTCCGTGCTCCTAGAACAATAGAGGGCTGTACCTCGCGGCTCGGCCGCTAGAGGAGGCACAAAGAGCCAAGCCCGCTCCAGAACAATGTAACCAGCGCCACGACCCGTCCCCTCCCGCGGGCCGCTAGCTCTCCCCAGCCGCCGCGCTCCGTTCGCTTAATGCAAAGGCGGAGCCTCTAGCCTGCGGCCAAGATACATTAACTAACCTGCATCTTAATTTCTCAGCACCTCTGCCCGCAAGCGCTGAGATTCTTCCGGAACCCAGCCAAGCCTCGGCACATTCCTCTTAGCAAAAGCCGAGAGCCGGGCTAGGGCGGCTGGCGAGCGAACCTGGGAGCATTCACTCTCAGTTTCTCCTCCCTCGTCGTCCCCCCCCCCCCAAAAAAAAGTGGCAGTTTCACTTTCCTTGCACCGTCCCCACCATGCTCGGGGCAATAAGATGGGAGCTGACCCCTGCACGCTCAGAGGACCAGAAAAGTCCCCCTCTTCCAATGCCAACGCCTGGGATGGGCTGGGGAAGCGCTGCTGTATCCTACCACCAGCTCCCTGCGCGCCGCCGGCCAGGTTGTGACTCCAGCCAATGGCCAAAGAAGTTTGCCTGCGAGGATGGGTAGGAGAGAAGAGGGAAGTTCTCCCTTCTGAAGGGCAAAGGCCCTTCCGTGCCCCCCATCTAAGCAGCCTGGCAGCCCGCGAAACTGCAAACTGTATTGTCTCAACAAGAGTTCAAGTGCACTGATTGGGCTTTTGACTTCAGGGCAAGCGGCGGGCCTTAAGTCCGGGAAAGACGGTACTTGGAGCAGACGTTGCCTAAGTCCATCCCGCCTCCCGCGACCGGGGAAGGTCGCAAAGCGAGGGTCTAGTTGGCACACTTAAGGGAAAGGGTAGAAGATGGGGGTGGTGGTGTCAATGGGCGCTGAGAAACAAGGAGGAGGAAAAGAGAGGAAATGCAAGAGGAACTAAAGTCCAGAAGAAATAGGGAGGGAGGGGAGAGGAGAGCACCCAGGGCCGCGGGGGCCACAGGCGCCCCAAACCCCTCTGCCCCGCCGCGCGCGCCCCTCCCCACTGACCTGCCAGGCGTAAGGCGGACATGCGCTGGAATTCGGGCTCTTGCAGCCACTTCCACATCCTGCGGAAGGTCTCCCTGCCAGACTTGAGTTTACTCCAGGGTTTGGGGTTCCGGAGCAGGTCGGAGAGCGTCCCCTGAGAGCGGCAGAGCACCCGCTGCGCGAAGATCGCCTGCGGGATGCTGTAGCGCTTCAGCTCGGCGGTGATGCGCTGGGCCACCTCCTTGGTGTTGATCTCCTCCAGCTGGCCCGACGTGGCCACCTGCGAGCCCGACGACGACGAGGGCGGCCGCTCGCGGCTGGGCGCCAGCACGGGCCCGTGGGACTGCGCGTGGCCCGGGTGGTGCAGGCCATTGAGGTGCGACATCATGGCCGCGGGCGGGGTGCCCAGGCCGCGGGACAGGTGCTGCTCGCCGCGGGTCAGCATGGCAGTGTGGTGCGCGTCGAAGTTGGGGCTGAGCATCTTGTCGTGGCCCGGGGGCCCGTAGTTGGGCAGGCTCTGCTGCGCGTTGTGGAGGCCGCCCAGCCCGTTGCCCAGCGGCGTGGCGGCCAGCGGGGACAGGCTCTGGCCCATGCCGGGCATCTCTTTGTAGGGGCCGTAGAGGTTGTTCATGGCCGGGAGCCCGCGCTCGTCGCGCATGAGGGTGAAGCTGCCGCTGACGTTGCCCGACAGGCGCTGGTGGTGGTGGTGGTGGTGGTGGTGCGGGTGGTGGTGCGGGTGCGGGTGGTGGAACTTGTCGGACACGGTGGAGATGGGCGGCAGCGGCTGGAGCGGCGTCAGCGTGGTGTAGGTGTTGCTCATGCCCATGCCGGGCGGGGACGAGTCGCAGGACATGCTCATGGCGTGGTGGAGCGGGATGGAGAGCTCGGGCCGGTAGTCGCCGCCGTCCAGGATCGAGGCCATGCTAGTGACCATGGCCGAGCGCGACGCCGCCGCGGCCGCCGCCGCCGCCGTGCCCAGCTCCTGGTGCGCGGTCGGCGGCGGCGGCGGCGGCGGCGGCGGCGGCGGGGGCGGCGGGCCCCGCAGCGAGCCGGCGGCGCCGCGGCCCGCGTGGTGGGGGCTGGGGCTGGCCAGCAGCTCCGGCTCATGGCCCGGGCCCCCGCCGCCGCCCCCGCCGCCCCCGCCGCCGCCCCCGCCGCTGCCGCCGCCGGCCGGCCCGTGCAAAGTGCCCAGACTTTCCATTGTCAGCTCCGGGTTCATGGCGCAGCCTTCTAGGTCTTTGGTGAGGCATCGATAAGCGGTGTAGGCAGCCTTCATTCAGTCCATCGGGGCCCGGGGGCGGCGGGGGCGGCCGGCCGGCTGGCGAGGCGCGCGTGGCGGAGCAGGAGCCGCGGCCGCGGGGGCGGGCGCGCGAGTGCGGGAGTGTGTGTGTGTGTGTGTGCGTGCGTGTGTGTGTGCGCGTGTGTGTGCGCGCGCGGGCGGGCGGGCGCGCCCCGAGTGGGGGCGGGGAGGGGGCGGACGGGGCGTGCGGGCGGGAGATGGGGAGGGGGGCGGGGAGGGAGGGAGGGGATCACCGGGCCCCGCCGCTCGGGCCGGCGCGCTGCCTGGCCATGTCCGAGCCCGCTCCGGCGCCGACGTCTTCTGTTTGGGTGAGCGGGAGCTGTCCAGAAGGGCTCTGCCGCTCGCCCGGGCAGCCAACCTACCCTCCCGGGCCCGGGGCGGGGCGGCGGCCGATGGGCTCCGCCGGTGGCCACTCCGGAGCCGCCGCTACCCGAGGGGGCGGGCCCGAGGCGCGGATCGACCAATGGTCGCGATGAGGGCGGGGCCGCGCGTTTCATGTTTGGCTGACGGCTCTGTGCTCTCTCCCCCCCCCTCCCTGCTCTGCCACTGGAATCAAACGTCAAGGAGAAGGAGGGAGGGGAAGGAGGGAGTCGGGCCGAGAGGAGGGCGAGGGAGAGAAATTATGTTAAAGATGCCGCGCAGTGTCCCTCTGGGCAGCCGCGATCTGGGGAAAGGGACATTGCTTCGGTTCCCTTCGCCTCCTCGCCCCGAGGTTTTGTCCACGGTAGTAAGAGTAAAAAGGACTCCTCTACGGCTGGTGTAAAAAAGAAAAAAAAAAAAAGAAAACAAACACGCATCTGCAGGCGTGCCACTTCCCGGGCGTCCCGAGCTCCCAGCCGGTAGTTGAGCCTTTTAAGATGCTGGCGCTAATGCATTCGAATGCAGAGTAAATTCCCCAGCCCGGGACGTGCATAATCTAGCCGGCGGCGCGAGGAACTCCAGCGCCCTCGCCGCGGAGGAAAAAAAAAAAAGCCCAGGGAAGACTACAGCCTCCGTAATGCATGCAAAGTTAACACAATAACATCGTTTAATTACACGGCGAGCCCATAAATCTCCCAGTTATGAGACTTCAGAAGGACCCTGCTAGATTGCAAAACCGAACTAGAAGTCCTGGAACTGCGGTTTCAAGGTGACCAAAAGCGTGTCTGTCCCATCAGCAAAGAAGTGGGGGGCTGGAGGGGGTGGGGGACGGCCGTGCAGCAGGAGGATTGCAGGTGCAGATGCCTATAGTGAGCAAACTTCTGGGGAGGCAGTGTAAGGGAACCATCTGGGATAATACCGCAGATTTCGCCTTACACACACATACACACACACTCACACACAAATACACACACTCGAGTGTCAAGGGAGAGAGAGAAAAGAGAAGGAGAAGGAAAGGAGAGAGAGAGAGGGAGGGAGGAGGAAGAGGAAGAAGAGGAGGAGGGGGGAGAGAGGAGAGAGAGAGAGAGAGAGAGAGAGAGAGAGAGAGAGAGAGAGAGAGAGAGAGAGAGAGAGAGAGAGAGAACGACCCGGTTGGCAGTGGGCAGCTGACATGAAACCTTGGCCGACATCTGTCTATTCAAACCTTGTTTCTGAAAAGACCAGAGCCATGGGGAGTTCTAGAACACTCGCTAGCCGCAGCTTTTAAAAGTGCATCTTCGTCTTCCAGGATCTCCGTGTTTTGGGCTTTGGTAGTCCCAGGTCGGGGACTTGGGAGTGTAGCAGGAGGAGGTGGAGACGTTGGCGACCCCCGTGGGGGTGGAGGGGTGGCGGAAGAGCCAGAGCCACCCGGTACTGAAAGCCTTAAAAGTAACAGATTCTTCCCAAGCAGGTTGTGCCCGGTTTGCCTCCGAAGATTCAAGCGAGCTGAGGTTGCGCAGATGTTGCCTTTGTTTAAAGAGACAGTAATTAAAGACAGGGTGGACATAAGTTTGAGAAGCGTGACCTATTTTCTTTTGATCAGCTGTCAAAAGAAGAGCAGGGGGTCTTCTTAAGACAGCCCCCTCCAACCACTTCCAGCTGTTAGAGAAAACTTGATAAGAAAACAAGGACATAGCCTGGAACACTGCATGTGTGTGTCTTCCTGGCTCTAGAGAAAGGTTTAATTCATTTGGAAAACTGTTCTTCCTCGCTGTGACCTTTTACAGCTGCTCTCCTCTCTCTTCCAGCTACAGGGCAGCCCCCCACTCCACCCCTGTTACACACACCATCCTGTGGCAGGAATGCGCGGTGACGTTATTCATAGATCAACTTTATTGAGCTCTGGCCAATACCTTGCCAATTATTCTTCCAAATAGCTTCTTCGCTGCACTATCAAAGCCTAGACAAGAAAGTGGCAGAAGCCTTGCTTTACAAGAACTACATTTCTAGCTGCCCAGATCTTTAATGTTGCAATACTTGACAAGTGAAATAATTCCATTTTCTGGTTCCCCGTCCTCCCCACCCGGGCCCTTCACCCTCTGTACTGTCTCTCTCTTTTCCCCTCTCTGCATCTTAGGCTAGAAGGAAACGTGGGAGAATTTGGATTAGTTAATGTTTGAAATATGCACCAAGTTAAGCAAAAGTTCTCCAGATTACAACCTTCTGTTAGGGCAGGTGTACTCAGAGACTACAAGAGGGCCGGAGAGGAGTAAGGCCAAGGGAAAGATCTGTCTGGTGTGCTGGGAACTCAGTCTCTTCGGCCCTGGTTTCAGGGCCAAGCAGTAGCCGCTAACCTCAGGCTGACCACAACTCGTAGGCACTGTCCCCCTGCAGAAACTTAAGTATATCAATTGTCATTTAAATAATTTTTCAAAATAATAAAGTCATTTACCAGGCCACCGAGATAAATCTGCTCCTGGGAATTGCATTTCGGTGTGCTGGGAGCAGTCACGTGCCGGGGAGTTGAAAGGTGAGTTGCATATTCTGTCTCCCTCCCTCCCTCCCTCTTACTCCCACCATCCCTCCTCCTTCCTCGATCAATATTGGCGATCTCAGGGAAATCATGAAATCGTATTGGCTTCTTTGTGTATAATTTCATTGGGCTAGATTAAAGCAGATTTTTCATGTTGTTTTTCTAATGGTGGTTTGAGGTTTTTCTATTCCATCCAGAGCCCCTTTAAATGGAAAATGAATGTGCTTGTTTCGGCAACATCCTGATTTATTTAAATTAGTATTATTTACCGAATGAGGTTTGCGTGCTCTTTCCCCTTTCTTTCTGATAATGAAAAAAAGAAATATTTCTTTTCTACTTCAAGGTTATTTTAAAGAGTACCAGTACTAATTAGATTTTCAAATATGTTTTGAAATCATCTTTGTTTTTTTTTCCCTCTATAGTTAGGGAAATTAAAGCAGGAGCTGTTTTCTTTCTGTCTTCTCAACCTCCTGAAGTTCTGCGGCTGAGAATGTTTCCGTGTAATACGTAGTTATATTCGTAGTTATATTCCCATTTTCCCTTCCCCTCAGCATTTGGTTCACTGTATAGAAATGTGGTGGTGGAAATGCTGGCTCACGACTATCAGAATCTGGACAAACAGTTGCACAAGTCATTCTCTCAGAAGCAGGATACTAATTTCTTAGGATCTTAGAGCTGCAGGTGCTACTTTCTTTAAGATCCAACACTGAACTGCATCAAAAGACATACGTAAAGAAATGTGGTATTAACACTAGGCTCTGTAGGCTATTACAGTGTGAAAGAAAAAAATATGAACTTGAATTAGCAGTTGCAAAGGACAGATTGAAAATATTTATGAGCAGAGCTTTTCATATGTGCTTCATACTTTAAATTTTTTCGAAGCTCAGAGAGAGAGAGAGAGAGAAACAGAGAGAAACAGAGAGAGAGGTGAATGTTCAATTAAAACAGAAGCCCTATAAATTATTCAAGAAAAAAAATAAACAGACCACAAGTAAACCCGATCTGGATAAGGAGTCCCTGAGCTTTGCTTTTACTAAACAACAGTAACCACAGGCCAGATCCCAGCAAGAAGAGATGGCTTATTTCCATCCAAGTGTTCGCAATCCTGAAGGTTTTGTGTTGGACTGAACACTTTTGTGCCACAACTACGTTTATCAGAGCAATACAAAAAAAGACATAATGGTGGGTTGATTTGGACGATTTTATTTTTGTCCTTCCCCAAACCATCTGGCGTGTGAGTGTAGGGGTATTGATCAGGATCCGTGAGCTCCAGGACACCATGCCAATCCATAGCGTCTCTGGCAATCAGCGTCGCCTATGAATCGCAGCTGTCTCGGCTGCTCCCGAACAGAAATCTTCAAAAAAGTCCCCCCCCTTATCAAACACATCATCCGTTCAGGGGTAAGTCAATATCATTTCTTTGTCATTCTGGGCGGGAGGATTATTCGGAAGAAAGTTTTTGTCGCCGCCGCTGCTACTGAGGTTGCAACAGCCGGGTGTGCCCCCACCCCCAATCCCCCCCCCCCTTTTTTAAGAGGAAGGAGAGCAATTTTCTGGCCATTGAATGGTAATGGTTTTCTAGAAAGGCCTCAAGCGTTTGTATGAATCAGACAACCAATGCTGGTGCAGGATTGTGGGGAATTTTTGTGAGGGGGGTGGGCGGACATTCTTCTCTTGCTGTATACAAATAATAATTATGCTCATCGAGGATTCCTCTTCACAGCAGACCACTCGCTCCCCAGATCTCCAGGCTGGCCGGGGTGCTAAGGACCCCCGCACGTGTAGGTTTGCTTTGCAGAGCCCGGTGGCTGCTCAGGGTGGACATGGGAGTCTTAGCCATTGTGGCTATTTGATATCTCCATCAGCTTCAGTTTTCTTCTGCCCCGAAATCTCGGGCACCTTGAGCTTGGGGGGGGGGGGGGAAGAAAACGACACTCAAAAGCTCACCCCCCAAGACCTCCCTTCGGCCTCGGGACTGGGAAATTCACCGACACTTTACAGATTCCAGGAAAGTTAAAAAAAAAAAAAAAAGAAGAAAAAGTTTTTCTCGGGGATGAGGCCGACGGGTGCTTCTGCGTCTCGCTCCGCCTCGGTGTGGAGAGAA